ATGCAGACAACTTGTACTCAAAATATAGACCATAAGTTTGGAAGTTTATTGTCGAAGTACGACGACTTATTCGTAACTAACATACCAATTCTAGATTTTAATGAAGTAGCACAACGACTTGCAATCAGTTATGAAAAAACAGTTCTTATGTACGCAACTGATACATGTCCGTTCCGATTACTTTACAGATTTGACCATACTGATCTCATAGCAGGAATAGGGATGATACACACCGGACAAGATAACAAACCATTTGGAATAACATTTGTAACATATTTGCAAAAAGTTGATTTGATTGGAGACTGCATTAATGGCTATGGAGTTGATACGGTTTTGCCTCGAAATTATTTTTGCTCTAGATGCACACCTGGGCATGTAGGGCTTGGATGTCGAACCTGCCCGGCAGGATTCTATTGTAGTGATTATAGTCAACTTCAACCAAGTGGTGCATGTCCGGAAGGATTCTACTGTTTAGAAGGAACTTCTACATCAAACCCTATGGCTGATGTACTGGATAAAACTGCATCTCCACCACATTTGTGTCCTGCTGGAGCTTATTGTCCTGCAGGAACGGCTCAAAGATTTGCAAATGATGAATCAGCTAACGCCCCTCAATCATGCTTAGCTGGATTCTTTTGCCCATTAGGTTCTGTAAAACCAACGCAAGAAAAATGCCCAGAAAACTCTACCACGAAAGTTGGAGCCAAAGTTCTCGAAGATTGTTACTGTAAACCTAACTTTTATGGTTCTCCGCAAACCCGTTGTATGCCTTGTTTAAACCACGCTTTATGCCCAGGTGGCAACTCAAATATAACAAACTCTTCATTGTTTGTTCCAAATGGCTACTGGCCAGACACACTAAACAATTTACGAATGCTTGTTAAGTGTTACTCAACTATGTCACGGTTTACACCTTGCAATGGATCAATTTGCAAACTTCAGTGTGGAAATAGAACTTATGCTGACCAAGTAATTGAGTGTAATGGAACCTGTTCAAATCCATGCGAAAAAGGTCACACCGGAAGGCTTTGCTCAGCCTGTGAAAACGGGTATTATCGAAAATCTCCGTTTCATTGTGCACCTTGCGTCATGGGAGTACGTCAAACTGTGTGTGTAGTTGCAGCTTTACTCTCGTCTATATTTATTTTGGCAATATATTTTATTCGAAAACATTTAGGAACAAAAGAATCGCCAGATAAGGTTCTTATATCAGACCAGCAACTTTTAGAAATGCTTATAACGGTTTTATTAGTTTTGCTTGGGATTTCTTCAACAGCAACTGTATTATTTATGGTCTTTATAGTAATTATTGTTTACATGCAACAACTACGCTCACCCGCATATGCCACAATTACTTTTATTTTCTATATACAGACTTTGCAAGTTTTAATGCAAGGAAACTTTGTTTGGCCAAATTTTATGCGTTATTTTTTACAATTCTTAGAAGTCATGTATGCACCGGTGCCAGGATTAGCTTGTCTTCCTAACTTTTACACAGGAGAAAATCTTGGATGGGAGGGAGCTTTTATTTTAATATTTAGTTTACCAGTAATTTTGGGATTTCTTGTCGGGGCGTACATGTTTGTTACCGGAACTGTTCAAAAACGTCCGGTATGGAGAAGAGCCTTTATGTCATACTGTTTGTTTATGTCAGTTCTATTTTTCCCACTTAGTAATATGAGCTTGAGAACGTTAAGTTGCAGTCTAGATCCTATTGTTGGGAAATACTATATGTCTTCCGAACCGTGGAAAGAATGCCGATTAGACTCCATTATTCAAATTTGTGGAATATTAGGAACAATTTTTTATTTCATTGGAATTCCATTTACTTTGCACTACTGGTATTTTATGAGAGTTTTCCCAGACGACATTGTTGAAGAAATAGGACGAATGTTTTTACCAGCAGGTATAAATGGAAACGAAACATTTGTTATATTTCTAACGATAAGATGGATGGTAATGAGCATAATATTGTCCTTCGTTCCACTTTCTTGGGGAATGCAACGATCTCTAATACTTGCACTTTTAATGACTAATATTATTTTTGTGATGAACTTACGACCTTATGAAAGATACAGTCCTCGAGAGCCGCAAAACCTTACAGTGAACGAACGTAAATGGTTTGATCGCTTGTGCAAAACCATGTCTGGTAATTTTCTTGATGTTACGACATTAGTAGCAATAATTCTCTCGTACGCAGCCTTAGACTCTCGCGATAACTGGGCTATTTTACAAATAAAATCTTTTGGCATAGGAATCGCTAACTTATTTATAATAGCCTACTTCATTTTCTTTATTTTGCTGGAAGATCGTTTGACTTTATTTCCAAAAACAGCTAAGTGTTTAGCTAAAATTGAGATGTTTTGTTGCTGCTGTTCTTCTAGATCGTATGATTACGTAAAAGATAGATCAGCAGACGAGTCAATGCTAGCCGAGGAAACAAAAACAGATAAAAACTTGTATGAGTCAAAAGAAGGAATAAAACCAGGAGTAAACGAAGTTAAAATGGATTTATACTTATATGGCAAATAATTTTTTTTCAGTTCTAGATTAACCTTTTTATAAATGCTTTTACTTATTAAAAAAGAACACCAAAAATTTTAAAGCAAAAAATGTATAGATGCTTCAACCACAAACATAGTTGCAATTAACCACAAGTATAGTTGCAATCAACCACAAGATAAATATAATTAATATTAAATAAAATTTAATGTATAAATAATAAACTTAATGATAATAAATAGCAAAATTAGAAAATCAAAAGTAAATAATAAATCCGATTTTATATTTATTCACTTTCGATTGCAATCAATACAAACATAATTTTTTAAATAAATTTTTATATAAAAAAGTAAAACTAGCTGTAGTGTTCTACTTTTCGTATGTCACGTCTTGTTTCACGAACTTTTCGTCACGTCTCGTTTCACGCTCTTCAAAAATTCGTAACAATAGCCGACACCAAAACGATCGTTAACTTCGTTAGCTGGCGTTCTTGTTTACTTCTTTTTTTTTGATCTTTTACCTTCACCTATATAAAAAAAATAAATAATAGTAAATATAAAAAAATTATTATTGCAAGTAAACTTCAACTTTCGTTTACTTGAATTTTTAAGCATAATCTTCAAAGCGTTCGTTTTAAAAACTAAATATTTTTGCTAAAAATTGTAGGTGATGATGTTTGTTTATTTTTCACAAGTTTTTCATCAATATTTTCGAATAATAAATAATAAAAATCACAAGCAAAAACTCCTAAAATTTGCCATAAATTGGGAATTTATTTTTTCATGAAAAGCTACTATTCTAATTTTCAATTTAATAATTAATCTGAATATATACAAGTCAATACAAATATAGTGTCGACGTGTTGCAGTATGGTTTGCAATGTATATTAGTTTCTTTATTCTAACTATCTGCAGCTGATTTTTTTAGGAATAATGTTCAAAATATACTATAAATATAATGTTTTAAAAGCGGACATTGAATTTAAAATAGATTTTAAATTTACAAAAATATCCATTTTTTTAAGTATTTTCATCTAGTTAAATATTGGAATATTTTATAAAAGTAAAATACAAATGAATATTTGAACTATTTTTAACAATTTAGGTAGCAAGTACGATTGTATAAAGAAAGAAAAAATGTTTTTGAACGTGTATTCATAGAAATAAAACAAAAATAGAGACACTAGTATTTTTGATAACATAAAAAAGGTATATTTTGGGTGCTTTAAAGTTGGTTTAAATAATTATATCTGCAGCTAATTTTTTTCTTCTGAATAAGATAAGCATTTTAGGATTTAATAAAATTATATTGATCAAGTCCATGCATGCGGACTTTAGTTTTAGGAAGAAGTTGAAATTGAAGAAAAAAATTTTATTTTATGCTAGTTTCAAACATAAATAACTTATGCAAATATACAATAATAAAAAATTATTATTATTTTGTTTAAAAAAAAAATCTATACATATGTGCATCAAGTTTTAAATTTAAACACATAATAATAATAATAATAATAATAATAATATCAATACTGTTGAGATTTAACGCCATTTTAAATCTTTTACAGACATAACAAGAAAGTTAAAGATAGTCAATTAAGTCTAGTTTAGCTTTAAATAAGTTGAGATTTTTAACTTCCACTGTTTCAATTGGTAAATTGTTCCAGAACTTGACTGTGCGATTTGTAAAAAAACCTTCACGATTTCGATTTAAATATTTCTCATCGGTGAATAAATGTTTATTACCTCGAAAGTTTGAACACGGACCAGAAGAATTTAAAGAGCACAAATGTTGAGGGGGTATTTTCTAAGTTATTTTCTCTATATCATAATACCATTTGTACATTTGTATGAAATCTCCTCATATTCTTCGTTACTTTAAAGTGTTAATTTCATTTTTTCTAGTCTTTCACTGTATGATAGATGACGTAGTTCAGGTACAGATTTCGTTACTCGTTTTTTTTCTAATATATTTATATCTTTTTCAAGATAAGGACTCTATAACTGTATTGTAAATTCTAAATACAGCCGTATATAACTTACAATACAACAATTTTATTAGTTCAATATTTTTATACTTAAATGATTTGTATATTATACCAAATTTATAGTTTGCAATAGATGATGCAATTTTGATTTGTGGTTCCCATTTTAAGTCATTCGAAATTAATACGCCTAGATCCTTTTCCAATTTAGTTGTACTTACTTTTTGCTTTATATTATTGTTAGTCATGAAATATTTATAATTTTTATTTTTGTTACCAATATAAAAACTTGTAGTATTTTTGCAAGAAATTATTCATCGGTTTTTAATCGCTCTTGGATACGGTTATTGACTTTTCTTTCAAGAAAAAATATGAAACTTATATATTTTTTTATTGCCTAGACAATGATGTGTTTAAAAATAATAAAAATTAAAGATTTTTTTTTTTTTTCCAGACGACTGTGGCGTGCAGTAATTTTTTTTTTTTTCATAACTCATTTAGTCTGGATGTGCAGAAGTTGTCCATTCATATTATTCAATTATTCTTGAAAAATATCAATGCTCTAGCAAACTATCTTGAGGTGTCCAAGAATTTTAAGAATTAAATAAAAAATGGGTCTCTAATATAATTAAAAAAAAACTTTCATAAGTATGTTATATTGGTTTTTCAAATGAAGCCAAACAATATAAAATTTTCAATAAAAATAGTCATTTTAAAAGACTAAATAAAAAAAAAATTATTTAAAATAAGCACATTTTTCATTTTTAGCATATTGTAGTAAAACAAAAAGTAATAGCTTTAAAACGATTTTTGAAAGTTTTATACTTTTATTTCGCTTCATTTAAAACCCAACATGACTTTTTAAAAAAAATTTAAATAATATTAGGAACTCTGTTAAATTTTCAAAGGTCTTGGGGCAACAAAAGATAATTTCCTAAAGCATAAATATTTTTAGAGTACTTCTGATAAGAATAGACAAATTTTGCACATTCATGCTAAATGACTTTTTTAAAAAATTTACCGCACCAATTGAGCAAAACCTTAAACTATTTTTTCAAATCTATTTTTTTTGTATTACATAGAATATATTTAGGGGTGGGAGTTTTTTTTTTCGTTTGTTTAATTTTATTGAAAACTAATATAATTTTCAACTCTAAGTTTATTTAAAATATATTTTATGTTTTTAAAAATCTATAACAACACCTCAAATTATTTTCAATTAGTTGTTTTTTTATTATTAGTTCAAAAAATAATTGAAAAATGTAATAAAATAAAATAAAAAATTCATGATAAACCTTTATGTATTGATTTATTTTAGATTTAATAATACTTCTTATAATTAAAAATGCCGATGGGAAGTGGGAAAAAGAAAGCTAGAGAATGGAATAAAATGACTGAAGTTGAGAATCAGTACAAAATTTTCTTGTGACTATTGTCATGCTTGGAGTAGCAACAAGATATAATGAGTAAAGCCCCATTTAAAACATTGCAAAAAAAGTTTTAATATTTATGCAAGCATACAAAAGGAGACAACCTCAATTTGTCAAAATATTTTAATAAAAATTGTGAGGTACCAAACAATAATTTAAATATTGCATCTGCTCTAATAGCTAGGCCATCATCTCAAGTTGGAAAAAATTATTTTGGCATTTGTTAGTTCTATAAGTTTGCCAATACCTTGTAAGAAGCAGTGGTTGGCGTCATCATACACAATATCAACTAATATAAAACAGAAAAAAAATATTGATATAAAAATAACAAAAATTTTCTTCAGTGCAAATGTATCATTTAAAACTTCTGAAAATCAAGAATTTAGAGACATGATCAATTCATTGAGAACATGATGTAATCCACCTAACCGTATCTTTAAACCAAACTCAAAATATTTGGTGTTGTTTTAGATCAAGAATTTAATTTTTTTTATATTTAAGTTTTTGTTACAAAATAAGACTTTGCAGGTGTAAAGGAAAAGTAATAAAAATAAATATATGTTGATTAAATTAAAAATTAAATTTTTTCTAGATGCAGAGTGACAGCTGTCACCTATCTGAATGTGTTGAGTTGTGGCTCTCACTTCTGAACAACCCTGAACTAAGTCATTACCACAGCTATCAAAAAGAGATATAATGACGCTTTGACACCTATCCATTATCTAGAATACATGACCAATCCTCACTTTTTGGGTAAAAATAAGTTTTTCATTCAAAATAAAAAGAATTGTTTTCACACCTATATGCTAATCAGAATTTTTTTATTATATAGGCAAAAACCTGCAAATTGAAAATGGTTTTATCGGGTCAAAAGTTAAAAAGAAATCAAGAAGTGAAAAGGCTAAAAAGCTTGCGCAAATTTATAGACAGTGTCAAAAAATTTGTTGTTTTCGTAATAAGTATATCAAAAATGTAATTAGTCTTGTCAAAGCGTATTTATTCTAAAAAATCTTATTGCATGAATCTAATTTGTTTAATTTCTTAAAAAAAATTGTGTTAAATAAAAAAAGTATAGTGTTTGAATTCAAAATTACCCTTTATAGCTAGCTCTATAATATGATTATGTTTTTAACAATGTTGGTTAATAATATAATAGTTCATAAAATTATAAATATATTTCAAAAATAACCTGGGTTTTATTGGTTTTTTTTAGGTGGGTTTTATTGGGTTTTATAAGACAGGTTTTTAAATGCCAACCCTGAAATCACTTGATGTATGTAAACTCATTGCGCCTATCCCTCTATCAGTCGATGTATGTAAATAATAAAAATCAATGTAACCTTCAATATACAACATTAATAATAATTTTCAATAAAAAATAGTACAAAAAATATTTTTAAAAATTTCATTTAGTGTAGGAGTCGATCCCTGATCACCATGGAAGATGAACTACCGCAACGCTAAACATATGAAATGAGATACCACAATGCTAAACATATAACATGAAGTTGCAATTCTTTTTAAACTTGTACAAATATAACTTTCAAAATCAACTAATAACACTTGAAGCCGTGACTTAAAATAAATCAATCAATCTTTACTACCGTGACTTTAAGATAAAAAATTAAAGCAACCATACCTTGCGCTAGACACAACGGGAACTTTTTATTAAAGTTATACAAAACGCTTATACTAATTACTTCTATTGATTGTTTGATAAATAAACTAATTTTATTTAAATTAATGAAAAGTGAAATTAAATTATTGAAAAGAAAAAAGTATAATATTTTCAAACTGTAACAACATTTTTTTGAAAAAGTTACACAAAAAAATGTTTAAAAAATATTGTAGTCTTTTTTAAATAGTAATTTTTATTCACAATTTATGCTCTGATTAGTAAGTGAAGTTAAAAAAAAACAACTTTTATAAAAACAAAAAAAATAAAGCAATTAAATTATGGGAATATTTAATTCAACTTATTCATAATTTAAAGTAAGTTGAAAAAATATTCTTTTAAAAGATTTTTAGAAAGATATGGAATAGTAGTGGCTAAAAATAATAGTATATTTAATTTTTATTATTTAATAAAAATTAAATATTTGTATTTATTTAATTTTTATTAAATAATAAAAATAAAATATATACAAATATTTATTTAATTTTTTTATCGTATTGTATTTAAAAAAAAACATTTATTTGCTATTCTCCTAGTATATAAAAAATGAGATAGAATCTTTTTTATTTAATAAAACAAATCGTTTGTAAATGCAATTATGGGTCATAATGCACGTCACCCTATATTTGTCAATTCTTAACCCCATCCCTCCTGTCACAAACAATCACATATACCAATATTTTTAAAAAATATTTTTTTAAAGATGCTCTTGATCTTGAGGAAAATTTGTTTTTGATTTGATAACTTTCATAAATGTTATGAAAAATCACTCAGGAAGAATGCCAACAATTTTGTTAAATTTCTTAATTATTTTTAATGAACGAGTTCAATACTTTTACAATTCTTTTGTTATGTAACTCTTAGTATTAGATATAAATATTCCACAATAATAATCGTTCGGCAACGTAAGTTAAATACATAGTATCAAAATAACCAGTTTATTTTCCTTAGCCGATTACCTCTGATAAAATTTTATACATTTTAAAAATTGGTATAGAATTCTCAACATCTTGTGGAAGTTTCTAATACAAACCGCTTTACTGATTCGCAGAAATCTGACCTAAAAGTTGAAGCAATTTTTTTACCTTGTTTTCCGTGTAATGTAAGTTATGTGGCATTTTCAGTAATAAGTTCACTCTTTTTTGGCCAGATTCAAAACTTTTTAGCTTATTTTATTCTTTAGACAAAATAGTATACAAAATAGTAAATACTTGATAAAAATGTTACGTGTGTAACCTTAGTTAAAAATGGAATTGCCCATATATATATATATATATATATATATATATATATATATATATATATATATATATATATATATATATATATATATATATATATAATATTATTATTTTTATTATTATTATTATAAATATTATTATTATATAACGTCAAGTTAAGAGTATTGAAATTTAAGCAATTTCCCCAAGTTCTGTGCACAAATATATTAGCTGTGATCATAACTAAATTAAATTATAAAGACAAGAATAGTCTCATTACAGATTTAACAATTCAAAATTCTTATATAATAAGTAAATTATTTAAATAAAACCTTGCCTTTTTTTGGTGGCCCTTTTCCTCTCACCTTTCTTTTATGAGCCATTTCTTCATTAAAATCCTAAACATTGTGTTATAACTATCTTTAAAATAACAGAAAACCTGCTGATTTGAAAATGACATTTAAAAATTAAAGTAACTTGGTGCACTTCTATGGATTTATACAAAAACTGTCCTAATACAATTTGAACTTTGGTTCTAGAAAAAAATCCCCTGCAAAAATAAAATTAAAAAAATATATATATTGCAGGGCTTGTGATGAATCGAGCGCGATCGCGCTCCGCTCGTGAAACGCGCCCGTAAATGGTGTTTTGAAATGTTCCAGACGCGATAAACAACGCTCGTTCAGCTTATAACGAGCGTATAAAATAACGCTCGTCCAAGAGTTTGGGGCAAAATAAATAATAACTTTTTTTTTTATTTTCATAAAATATGAAAAAAAGATTTTTTAATAAAGATTTTATATTATCGAAGCACTAATATAATATAAAATAAAAAAAGCACTATGTCGTTCTTTTTTGCACTAACCTAATGAATGAGCAGTTTGAAGTTGTTAATAGGCACTAATTTCATTGATGGAATGTGCATATAGAAATTCAATGCAAATACAAAAATGCACAAATAAAATAATAAAAAATTAGTAAATCATTATAAGAAAAATTTAAATTTTTTTTAAATCATTATAAAAAAAGTTGTGTTTTTGTTTGATATATATTTTTTTTTTTAAATAAATAGTTAAAAAAAAATCCCGATCTGACAATATACAAGAGTGTTAATTCATGAGTGTGATACTAATTATAACATTTGTCGACGAAAGAATGATGTAACAAATAAAAAAAGATCTTCTTCAGCAATTTTCATGATCGCGCTTGTCGACGTTATCTCGAGCGCACATAATCACGCTCGATGAAAACATATTTTAATTTTACGAGCGCGATATAACACGCTTGACGATTTTACTCGTCACAAGCCCTGTATTGTATTGAAATTGATAGATAATCTGCCCAAACTAAAACTTTCAGCCAATAAATTAAAGCTCTGTTTGTATTATGCTATGTATCTATAAAATATTTATATTATAAACAACTATTATATTAATGTATCGTTTATTTTATGCGCTGTAAAAAAATACTTGGGGGATTTTTTCTCAGGGAGATTTTTTTGGGGGGTTATTTTTTCAGGGTGATTTTTTCTGAAGGGATTTTTTCCTGCTACCACTTTTTATAAACTTTTAAATTTTATATTTATAAATTAAAGTAGTTGGAATATATATAGGGTTTGCTAAAAAGGAATAAGCAATTTTTGAAAACACCTTAGCTAATACTAAAGAAAATAAAAGAAACTGTTGTAGAGTTAACTGTACAAATGCATTTTTATAAATATTAATTATAATTTTCAAAATAACGTACAACTACATATTTTATATATATGTAGTTGTACGTTATTTTGAAAATTATATTTCTCTAATTCTTTTTTTTTTTCTATTTATTTTTTCTATTCATTTTTTTTCTATTTTTTTTATTTTATTTATTTTTATTTTTTTTCAATATTTGGAATTTTAAAACTTTTCTTTAAATAGAAAACTATTTCATTTTGCAAATATTCAAATAAGTAAAAAAAGTTACAAAAAAAAATAATTTTAAAAATTTATGAGTCACTTAAATACAAGAGGCATCTTGTTTGTTTTTGTTTGTTTTAAATTTATTTAATTCACCTCCAGAGTGTACAGATCCTCCTTAAGGCTGCAGGAAGCTACTCAATTTTGTTTTTTTATTTAATTAATTCTTTTATTTGCAACACGGACTAGTAAGTGACCGGGGTTCTGGCCCTGGCTAAAAATTAAACTTTTTGCAAACCTTGCCCTGACAAAATTATAGCAGGGGTTGATAGCCGGGGCTAGAAAAAAAATTTAAATACTTTATATATTTTAATTTTATACTTACATTTGCTATTTTTTAAATATTGGCATTCATTTATATATTTTTAAACTCTAATTTACTTCTAACAAGATTGCAAGCAACCACTATTAAGTTGTGAATTACTTTAAAATAGAGGATAGGTTAAAATATTAGTAAAAAACTAACTGAAGACTTTAAAAGTTGTAGGATGTATTAAAAAGGAAAACATGAAGATGGGGAAGAGTTATAAGGCTTTTTTGATGTGCAAGGAAAAAAAATGGATTAATAAAATTAAAGAAAAACTTCTGTTATCGATGTAACTCTTTATTGTTTAAATTGATTTTTACAAATATTTTAAGGGAGTATAGATACCCTTGTTATCAAGGGAGGCATTTGAAATATAATGCCAAGAATGTGCACCTTCAGACAACAGTCTGAATCAGGTTGACTGAGGTTATGTCATGACTCCTTTTTGGAAACCAATGTTTCAATATTTGAATCAAAAGAAACTATTGCATTGATTTTTTTTTATTTTGTTTAACTGTTTTATTTATAAATATATATATATATATATATATATATATATATATATATATATATATATATATATATATATATATATATATATATATATATATATATATAAATATATATATATATATATATATATATATATATATATATATATATATATATATATATATATATATATATATATATATATATATATATATATATATATATATATATATACAACACTCGGAATTAGGAAAAATGAAGTTGGCAATAATTTTGGGTTGGGAAAAATTATTTGATACAAAGTTCTGACCATAAAACATAGAAACGAGGCCGGCAATTTTTTGCCAACCTCAAACATTTTAAGATCGGTAGTTAGGTTGCCGACCCTAATTCCGAGGGTTGTATGTATGTATGTATGTATGTATGTATGTATGTATGTATGTATGTATGTATGTATCTATTTATCTATGCATATATATATATATATATATATATATATATATATATATATATATATATATATATATATATATATATATATATATATATATATATATATATATATATATATATATATATATATATATAACAGTATTGTAATATTTTTTTGCAGTAAATACTAAAAACAGGCTGCTTGTTCTAAGCAATCAAAAAGTGAAGATTTTTTGTCCAGACATAAGTATAAAGTTAAGTTGTCAGCCAATAGAGGCACTTTAGATGTAAAGTTTTCATAAAGATTGTTATTGTAGATAGAAAACATTACAGGATCAAAGATAGTGGTATCCTCAAAGTTACTTGAAATAAAATACTAACAATAAGATACTAATAATAGAGTGAAGAATAACCTTAGGATAGTTAGAGAGGTCAAATTGTTTTCTAGAGTTTTGAAAAATTGAAATCAATTATTTAGCACTTTCTAAAATTTAGCAAAAATTTAAAAAAGTTCAATTGAGAATTAACTTTAGCATTAGAAGCCATAGTGATTTTGAGTTTAACAAAAAGTTAATCTGTTTAAGTGGCAGGAAGAGTGTGGCCATGATTCAAGAGTTAAATTAGCGTAAGATTTCTTTGCAAAAAACTCTGCCTTAATTCTGGGGCAAAGTCAAAAAAAGATAAGACCCATGAATTAGAGATAAATATTAGACTTTTTTTTTAAAAAATTCAATTCACCTCCTTAAGGTCGAGAAGGCCACTACAGACGAGTAGGCTACTTATTTGTGGTTATAACCCTCTCTCAACTCTATAACTCCGAAACATGAACCTTGACGAACAAGGCCGCTGCGCGGAGAAACGAGTTGAGCGCGGTACTACCAGGGACGTGGTGGGGATCGAACTCGGAACCACTTGTTTATGAAGCGAGCGCTCTACCACTACACCACTACCGCATTTTAAGTAGTTAAGGAAAGAAAATGCTATAGAGTTTTTAAATTAGAGAAACAGCATAAAAGAGTAAGGCTAAAACCTGGTAATGATGACAATTATTACGATGATGATAATAATGATGATGACAATGATGATGATTATGATGATCGTGATCATGATGATAATGATAACATTTATCTTGGAAGATGATAATGATAACATTTATCTTGGAAGACTTACTTTGAAGACTAACCAAAAGACACTAGAACCTAACATCTAAGATGTTAGATAAAAGGTTTATATGTTAGATGTAAGGTTTATTAAACTTATAATAACAGAACTAAACATCAGACAGGACCATTTTACATTAGTTTCTTGGAATAATAAAAGACATTTGTTTATAAGAGAGATGTTCTTGTAAAAAAGATGAAAAAAATGATTACTGTTTAATAAAGCAACTGCTCAAGTTGGTAAAAAATGCGGAGCAGAATAAGACTTGACTTTATATTGAAAAGAAAAAATAGAAGCTTCCAAGCTTTTATTCCAGAAGGAATATAAGCTTCCAAGATAAATGTTATTTGCATATGCTATTATTTGCTATTCGCTTTATGCATACATATTATGGGTATAAACATTTATGTTTGCTATTTATTTAGATGCTGGCATACAATATCCTCTCATAATTAAATAAACTTTAGTATTTATATGGTGTAGTATTTGTCAAAAAAGAAGATGATCAGATGGATGTGTGGTGTGACTCTAACACAACAAGAAAAGAAGGCATAGTCTTAGACATATAAGAAAAAAACATCTTATAGGACAACGTCTATTAAAGAAGATTAAAGTGATTTGGGTATCAGCATGTAGAGAGGTAGAAGCTTCAGGAGAAAATGGTAGTGGTAGAAGTAAGAAAACTTAAAAAGAGTGGCTTATATAATGTATGAATGAGGTGTAGTTAAGGAAAGAAAATGCTATAGAATTTTTAAATTAGAGGAACAGCATAAAAGAGTAAGGCTAAAACCTGGTAATGATGACAATTATTATGATGATAATAATGATGATAATAATGATGATGATTATGATGATCGTGATCATGATGATAATAATGATTATGATGATCATGTTGATCATAATGATATTTATATATGCATATATATACAAAATATAACATGAATTTTGAATTAAAAATATATACTTTAGGATGTATAATTTACGCAGCCCCAGTCACAAACTCAGCCCTGGCTATATTTTATCAAACCTGGCCCCGGTCAAATATCAACTCCGGTCACTTACTAACACAAACCTTGTTAAACAAGGCTGCTGTGCAGAATAGCAGAATAGTTAAACAAGGCTGATATTGAATGCTAAAATTATTATGTAGTGAATTGTAAACAAAGCTGCTGCACTCAGCCTGTTTCCAGGTTGAGCTTTATTTTGATTTTGAAGACACATTTTAAAGGCTGTTTGCACATTCCAAAACTATCAAAATTTAAATCGCTTTTTGAAAAAACTCACCTTCAAGACTTAACTAAAGATTAGAGCCCCTCTGACCCATCTTCAGACTACCATAGGAATCAAATAATGGTATATAATTTGTTTGGTTGTTTGACAAACTTTTTTTTTTAAATATTGAAAATACAGTTTTTTTTTTTGCTTAGCCTGAAGCTAATTTATGATAAAAAAATCTGAAATAAAAAATATTTTTTCTATAAAGTAAGCAAACTTTCCTCCTTCTGTAACAATAAAATCTTCTCCATGCGGCTGCATTATATTATATTGCTATATATCTTGCTGCAACCGGTTACAAAAGACATAACTCTTGTGATATCTTATTCCATTTAAATGTTGTTGATTTTATTTGAGTTTTTCTTGTCTTTTTTGTTCTTATCTAGTCGCTTTTTAAAAACTTTTTTACTTGCAGCTGTGATAAAGGTAAAAACATTCTCATTATCCTTTAAATTGAACTTATAACATTGAGCTTATAACATTATATGAAATGTATTGTTTGAACCATGATCTCTAAAACTTTGTAAAAATATTTTAATATGTCATAGTAGTTTGCAGGGCTTTGGAGCTGCTCCGGAGCCAGAGCTGAAGCTATCCGGAGCTTGTGATTTTACATGGGGCTGAGCTTGAGCTGGAGCTAAAATATTTCTTGTTGGAGTTGGCTCTGGAGCCAGTTCCACTCTTTGATATTTTGAAATATTAAAGTTCCATAGAGTTATTACTTTATACAAGATTTTTTTTTAAAGAATTTAAACAATTAGGCTAATTAAAATATTTAAATAATTTCTAAATATAGCATTTATTATAGCAAATACTAAATGGTTTTTAATATTTTGATATTGATATTACATACATATATATACACATATATATACATACATACATATATATATATATATATATATATATATATATATATATATATATATATATATATATATATATATATATATATACACACATATATATACATACATACATACATTTATACATACATATATATATATATATATATATATATATATATATATATATATAAATATATATATATATATATACATATATATATATATATATATATATATATATATATATATATATATATATATATATACATATATATATATATATATATATATATATATATATATATATATATATATATATATATATATATATATATATATATATATATATATATATATATTTATACAACCCTCGGAATTAGGGTTGGCAATAAGCAATGCCGACCTAACTGCCGATCTAAAAGTGTTTGAGGTCGGCAAAAAATTGCTGACCTTGTTTTATAGTCAGACCTTTGTATCAAATAATTTGTGCCGACCTGATGCCGACCTAAAAAAGGTCGACAAATTATTGCCGACCTCATTTTTCCTAATTCCGAGGGTTATATATATATATATATATATATATATATATATATATATATATATATATATATATATATATATATATATATATTTATATATTTATTAAATAGATATATATTAACTATTAAATAGATGTGCAACTTGAGGCATTATCTTTAAAATATGATTTTCATATTTTGAAAAATTATACTTGAGCTTATAAAATATTTTTAGTTTCAAAAAAGCATTTTTTGAGAAACTAATTTTTATCCAATTATTTTGTGTAATATGTCATATGGTTCATATTGTTGAGTATGATAATATATTTTAAAACAATACTTCTAAACAATGTCAATTATTGATTAATAAAAATATACTATATTCATGTGTTAAGTCACATGATTTGTTTTAACGTTTTTAATTAGTTAAAACATTTAAAAAAATATTTAAACACGCAAGTTCCAAATGAAATTATAAAAAGATTTTAAAAAGATTTTTTTAGGATTATTGCTATTATTTTTGTTTATACTACTTTTTTATTATTTCTATTGTTATTATTTTTGTTTATACTATTTTTTTATTTTCTATTACCTTATAAAAAAAATTAAAAAGTTTTTTGTTTTTACTTTAATTTGAAAATATAAAAGCTTTTTTAATTGTATGTTTATTTATGTTTGTGTGAGTTGTCATAACGTTTTGTGTTAATTTAATTTAGTCAATCCAAAATAAAATAAAAATAATCAATGAATAATAAAGTTTTTAAATTATTTTACTTATTATTAATGCAAGTTAATTGTAGTGCTATATAATGGTTAATTGTCATTTATTTTGTTAGAGGTTTCTAGATATGTATTTTTCAATTGATAAAATTACTAAAATCGCTACATGCAAGATTATAGACAAAATAAATGATTAAGTTATTTCATGTGGCATGCAAATAATAAAACCAAAAGTTTACAATATGAAACAAAGATACAATATGATCAAAGAGAAGCAGCTCGCATGACTCGCCATGTTTGTTTTAGAAGAGCTTTTTGCCCCTGTTGAGCTTATTTACATCTGCCAAGACCTAAAGTACAGTGCTCAACTTGCTTCTCACTGCAGTTAGTAAGCAACCTGGGTTGATATTTGACTGGGCCCAGGGCCAGGTATATATAGCCAAGACCGGATTTGTGACCAGGGCTGTTTCTTTAATCATGGTAAATGCTCAAACGAACTATTACCTTTATTATAATAAACCAAAACTCATTCTTGCTTGCCTTCTTATCCAACAAGTTGCATTCTTTTACTGTATCTGTGCTTCATGCTATAAAAACTTTCATTAATCCAGTTTTTTTCCTTGCACATCAAAAAAACCTTATAACTCATTATTACCCATCTTCATGTTTTCCTTTTTTATACAACTACAACTTTTTAAGTCTTCGGTTAACTGTTTCTTTGCTTTTTAACCTATCCTCTATTTTAAAGTAAATCATAACTTAATAGTGGTTGCTTACAACCTTGTTGAAAGTAAATTAGAGATTAAATATATATAAATATATGTCAGTATTTAATAAATAGTAAATGTAAGTATAAAATTATAATAAACCAAGAATTATAATTTTTTTTCTAGACCCAACTATGAAACCCCTGTTAAAGCTTATAAATTTTGCGTGGCCAGTGCCAGGTTTGCAGAAAGCCTTATTTTAAGCCGGGGCCCTGATCACTTCCTAACTGCACTAGCCTTGTTTGTCAAGAACTGTGCGTCATGTTATACGTAAAATTGACAGAGAGTTGTAATAACAATTAGAAAAAAAAAGTAAAAAAAAAATCCCATAGACCTTTGGTAGGTAGAAAGTTAAAATAAACAGAAATAAAAACAAAAAACATCTTCTTTCAGAAATTTATGCTAAGTTTTCAAAATTTTATAATCTTTTATACCAAACCATAGCATAAAAGTAATCTTTAGTAACCTTCAAATAATCCTAAACAATCTTTTTAAACACTTTCACTAAAGGCTTCTAGCTATAGGAAAATTATAGGAAAAAGAATAATTCTGGAAAAATGTTTTTATTATTTTATATCAAGGAGAATTAAATATAAAAAAAGTAATTAAAGAAAAAATTAAAAAAGAGCAAAATTTAAACCATGTGTTCATCATGATAAATTCCAAGAAAACGGAGTTTTCGCAGTAGTGAATTGTATCTTTTCATTGGAGGATAATAATCTCCATACATTACGCCTAAAGGTTGCGATTTAAAATAATCAATGACCTTTTGTGATCTAAAAAAAAGCTATAGTAAAAAAGTATACATATATACAACCCTCGGAATTAGGGTCGGCATTTGACAATGTAGACTTAACTGCCGACCTTAAAGAGTTTTAGGTCGGCAAAAAATTTTCTGATCTTATGTTTTATGGTAAGACCTTTACATCAAATTTTTTTTGCCGACCTCTAAAAGATTTAGGTTGGCAAACTATTGCCGTTTACATTTTTCCTAATTCAGAGGGTTGTGTATATAAATTAATATATATACTTAGGTCGTTAGGAAAGTTCTTTGAACTCCTCTATAAAAAAATAAAAGAGTTTTTTTTAATTTTATTTTATTAAATGTTCAAAATAATGTCCATCATTATCTATACAAAGTTGCATCCTTTCAAGCCATTTGTGAAATATTTTTTTATACTTTTTTTTGGGTATACTTTCAAGTAGCTTCGTTATATGGGTTTTTTGGCTTTCGATGTCAGTATCGTCATCAAGATTTTTTTTTTATCAAGTCGAATAGCCAATAATCGGATGGAGCTAAGTCTGGTGAGTATGGTGGGTAGCAAATTACTGTAATTCCAGCTTGGTTTAGACAATTTGTGACGGTTTGAGTTACATTGGGTCGAGCCTTATCATGAAGAAATTTGAAATTGTGAGTGCACGTTTTAGGTCTTTGCTTATTTAATTCGCATATAAGAGGTTTCAAACAATTTTTTATATAATATTCACTAGTAATGGTGTCTACCTTTTCAACATAACCCAAATGAACAACACCTGTTGTTTTGAAGAAGATGTAGAACATGCTTTTCGGCTGAAACCTATCGCATCTATATCTATATACATCTACATTACTATAGTTCTTGGACTTTCACCTTCACCGACCCAACTAGCGTTAGCTGACTTGTGTCCAACTTGTCTCAAATAAAACCATGACTCATCCCCTGTAACAATATCGCATAGCCTCCATGGGCTATTTCTGAAAAGGGCTAAATTTTCCTTACATGCCTTAACTCTATTCTTTCGATTTTCATTGGTTAACTTGTGGGGTATCCAACGTGATGTTAGTTTTCTTTTTTTAAGTGCGTTGTGAATGATTTCGTTAATTGTAAAATGATTAATTGATCAAGGCTTCAATTATATCATGTGTTGCATAAAGATTTTCTTCAACAATGGGTCGCACACGTTCAATATTCTCAGCTGTATACATGGTTTTAGGGTGCCCTGAGCGAGGATCATCTTCAAGACTCTCTCTACCATCTATAAATAAAGTAGCCCATTTGGCAACTGTACTATATTTTGGAGCTCGGTCACCATGAACTAAAACCAATTCCTCATTTATGGCTTGTGCTGAAACTCCAAGTAGAGCACAAGTTTTAATATATGCTCGATATTCAAGTTTTTCCATTTTTAAATTTATTCTTTAAAACGTATATAATAAAATTTAAATAACTCTTTAAATAAACATTCAAAATATTTCAACAATTACTTAAAATGATCATAATTAAATACAGTTTAAGATGATATATAAACATTTAATTATTCCCTGTCTTATTGTAACTTTATAGATAAAGTTCTACAAACTTCTCTTATGACCAAAGTATATATATATATATATATATATATATATATATATATATATATATATATATATATATATATATATATATATATATATATATATATATATATATGTAATTAATTGTTGTAAAACACATTTGTGGAATATTTTTTTTTATTAGATAAAAAAACAGATAGATAAATTATTTTTTTTCTATTTTTCTATTTTAACCTCTAACAAGCTTTTACTTGGAAAGAAAAAGATAAAGCAAGTTGAAGAAGCAGTTATTAAGAAACTTGCAACTGCTCTGGATGTCACCGAATCTGATCTTGTTGCACCAAACAACAATAAAGTTCTAAAGAAAATTCAAACAAAAGCTGGTGATTTAGACTTTCTTGTTGAATGCATAAAAGAAAAATTTAAAGTCTCTAAATGAAGGAAGCAACTTCAAATTTTGACATTGACCCCAAAATCTTGGTCTATCAGAAATGCAGCAAAAGAGTTTTCAGTTTCCAAACACAAAATTTAAAATGCAAAGCTTTTACATGACCAAAAAGGCATTATAGCATACCCTAATGTGGTTGAATAACATCAAATCAGTAAAGATGTTATCAAACTTGTAGAGCTTTTTTATTGTGACGATGAGTATTCAAGGCAAATGCCAGGTAAAAAAGACTAAGTGTTGGGAAAAAAAAATACATGTCAAAAAAATTGATTTTGTGTGACTTAAAGGAGCACTATGTGGCATTTAAGATTAAATACCAAGACCATAAAATTGGATTTTATAAATTTTGCAGTCTTCGGCCTAAATGGTGCATCCTTGCTGGTCTAAAAGGTAAACATTTTTTTGTGTGTGTACAATACACCAAAATGTTAAATTAATGTTGGGTGGTGTAGGCCTTGAAACATCTTACCATTTAATCATTGAAAAGATTGTCTGCAGCAGAAAATCGAAAGCTGGTATTATTCACTAATGCAATATTTGTCCTGGCATACAAGCTGCCCAAAGTTATTTACAGCAGTATCTAACACAAAATAATGATCCAAAAAAGCAATATGACAGTGGCAAAAATGAACAGTCAGTGGATTTCAAACAGTGGACAAAGACAGATAGGACCTAACTATTAACAATAAAACTTCCCTTAAATGAATTCATTTTCACTCCTGTGTGAAAAACTTGATAAAATTACTTCTCATTCATTTATAGCAAAATCGCAATCTAGCTATCTAAAGCATCTCAAAGAAACAATTAGCATTGATGAGGCTATTGTACTAGTAGATTTTGCAGAGAATTACATTTTCGTAGTTCAATAAGAGATACAGAGTTAATATTGGAGAAAGAGTCAATGTTCTCTTTATCCAGCTGTCATCTACTACAAGAAAGTGAAATTAGAAATATCTTCTTTTTGTGTAATTTCAGATGATTTGAATCATGATGTTGGATTTATCAATGAAGTTATACATAGAACCATTAATCATATAAAAAGTTATCTCTGTCCCGCAATTATAAAAATTCATTATTTTTCTGATGGCTGCGCAGAGCAGTATAAAAATTGCAAGCATTTTTACAATTTATGTCACCATGCTCAAGATTTTTCTGTTCGGTGCATCTGGAATTTCTTTGCAACAAGTCATGGTAAATCTCCATGCAATGAATAGGTGGCACTGTTAAAAGGCTTGTTGCAATTGCTAGCTTGCAGAGTCCAACCACAGACCAAATACTGTCTTCTCAAGCCATGTTTGAAAACCTGATGAATACTGTCATAAGTCAATCAGTGGAATTACGTTTGTGTACATCCCTCCTGAAGAAATGGAGCTAGTAAGAATCAAACTTACTTTTAATAGCAACCACTAATTTGTCTTCATCTTTGTAATCGATATCTTTAAAATTGGTCAGGTACCAGTTTTCAATATTTCTCCACTAGAACTGAAATTATTCACACAAAAAGTATTGCTATAAATTCAATAATGGAAATTAGAGGCTACAAAAATATTTTTTTAGTCTAAATTTCAAAAAGACATATCTCCATAATGCTTTAAGAAAACAAAAACCATCTCTTTTATAAAGATAGCCTAGGATCACCTACTTTATTTGGATAAAAAATTTAATCCATGAAACTTGGCCTACTCCTGGAGTTAATGAAAGCGCAACCCATGGTAACAGAACAAAAAGTTTAACTGACCATTTTAAAGTCAAAAAATAACCATCAAAAAATTTAAACTTCACTATTTTCTCTACATTTTTGAATCCAGCACCCTCAAAAATGGTCTTACTTTTAGCCACATTGATCCGCTAGATCTTAAATTATTTATTAAATAATACAACTACAAAATCCACAATGGCAGACTTGACAAAAAATGAAACACTGTAGGCTGAATTTCAAAGCGTCATAACTTTTGAACCGTTTGGATTTGGGAGCTCCAATTTAACATTTTTTCATATTTGATTGTTTTGTACCAATGGGTAAAATTTAAAGAAAATCCAAGAGGTGACTGAAATGACTGTCCCAGTTTTAAATGGAATTACCATAATTTGATCTACAAAAACTCATTTACATTTGGCTTATCATTCAACTAAGTCACATCCTTTTACTGTACTTGTGCCTCCATGCTATAAAATTTTTTATTTAACTAATTTTTTTCCTCTCGCATCAAGAGACCTTATTTTATAGTCTATAGTTTATAATGCTTTAAAATCTTCTGTTCTGCTATGCTGTTATAAAATAATATTCTTGTTATAAAATAATATTCTTGTTATAAAATAATATTTAACTGCGATACTGTTATAAAATTTTTGCTATAAATATTGCTATAAATACAGAAAGAATGAAAAATTTCAAAATTTATAAGGGGATGTCTTTCATCCCTCAAAACGACACTAGTGACAGCACACTAAACCACTGAGCTATCAATGATATGCATTTAGGAGAAAAACAAACCTAAATATAAATTTCTTATAAGCTCTAGGTATGCTGAAAGGGTGCGCATGTTAACTTCTTTGCTCTTAAAGCCAATTTTTTTAAAGAATTATTTTACGTAAAAATATTGAAGTAAACAAACTATAGGTATAGGTATGATCAGTGTGGAATAGATAAGTATAGAAACGGTAGATTTGGTAAAGACCCATATAATTAGGGATGGCAAAAATCTCAGTAATTTTTAATCCTGGGATTTTGGGATTGAGAAATTTGTCCCCAGGAAATCCTGGGATTGAAAAGAAAAAAACCCAGTTGAATACATTTTAAGTACTTATCAAACACTTAAAAATAATTGATTTAATGATAATAACTAAAATATTTAATACATTAATGAACCTAAAATTAAGTTAAAAACATGTTTTAACTTAATTTTGTTATATTAAAACTTATCTGAGACTTTTAAAAACTAATGAACCTAAGTACTTTAAATTATAAAACAATACCTTAAAATGGTAACACAGTATAAATAAAAATAATATTT